GCATTAAGACCTGCAGTGTGAACGTAGCCAAAGACCAAGGTCCCTACCTGTCCCTCCATAAGACAGTCCACAGGAAGTTTTCAATGATGTAACTCCACAAATGTTTAGGAAAGAAAATATCCTCAATCTGTGGCTCCACATTAAATCCTATATTTATTAAGACCCATCCATCTATTTTCTGTACACGCTTATTCCTTTCAGGGTCACATGGGCCACTGGTGCCCATATCCAGCAGTCAACTATTTAGTCATTGACCAAATAAATCTTCAGTGGTACTCGTGATGAAGTCCACTACTCTGATAAAATGGTTTGTATATGCTGGTAGCTGAGTGAATTCATGCTTTGAATTTTGGTTACACTGTTTATAACGGGCGGATGATGTACAGTTGGTGTTAGGATTGTTGAGTTTTAGCGTGTTTTACGTCCTTCATCTGTTCTGTGTCTGAGAGCTGCTGCATCATTGGTTGCAAGGATAATAAAAGCAGCATGTTTTGATAGATTTTGTTTAAGATGTTGGTGTTCTGTTATTTAAATAAATAACAAATTGTTACCCAGTTAGTAATGTGACCTGGGTCTCYATTTTTAACAGTTATTTTAGTGTCGTTCTTTCTTATCAATAGCTGCTTTCTGAAAGTGTCTATAAAACAAAAATTAAGTCTAAAAATAATCATTTTGTTTAAACAGCTTGTGGTTTGGTGGATAATAAGCTGAAATACAGTATTTGATTTCAGGGAATGAGAAATGATAAATTACTGTTTTTTACATGCTGTGTCCTCACTTTAATAAGTCTTGATGTTCCTGTTATTTGTTGACAGGGTCACGAGGATGAGGTGTTCGTCCTGGAACCGCATCCGTTTGATCCAAGAATCCTTTTCTCAGCCGGCCATGATGGGAACTGTATTGTGTGGGATCTGGCTAGAGGAGTCAAGATCCGCTCTTATTTCAACATGGTTAGTGTTTGTCGTTTCACTGCAGTTCACTTCATTTAGATGTTTCTAAACCCAGTTTTAYATTAAAAACATTGTGATGTACTTTTTGTGCAGCTTTCTTATTCTTTCACTTTTGTTTGACAGTTTTCTCCTTCACCCACTGCTGTTCTCCGTCTTTGCTTTCACTTTCTTTTTCTCGTGGTCAGACTTTTGTTTCACTTTCGTTCTTGCTCTTTGTGTCGCCTAACGCATGTGGTAGGGATTCATACTCAGCAAATAGTAAAGTGATCATCAACAAGAGTATATGCCACTGCATATACTCATTGTGGTATTTGTTTCTATGGTAACCAATGGTTCAGACTGTGAGTGATGAAATGAGCTGGTCATGTGGCTGAATCTTGGTGTTAAACAGTAATAAGTGTTGTGTGCTTGCATGTAGGCCCAGATTTCAGTGTGAAACTTACTGGAAGGTTTTGTAACTTTGTTGAACGGCTTCTGACAAGAACAGGATCATGTAGAATGAGAAAATATGTAAAAAGATATAGGCTGAGGAATTTTATCCACCCAGCATGATTTATCTGAAACAATAGCTATGTATACATGGACATATGTAATCGGATTAAACGGCCGTTAGGATTAAAAATGTATCATGTAAACAGCCCATTGGGATTATTCTGATCCGATTGAGCTCGATCCGGATGAATTTTTAATCCGAATGAAAGGGGTGGGATATGCCGATTGATAATCTGAATGACGTGCATGTAAACACTTAATCAGATCATCTTATTCTGACTGTGGAAAACTGACCTGTGTGCACAGGTCTTCTGACTTTCATCGACCCGGTTCTGCTCTTTAGAGGAGGCGGGGCAGCAGCGTTTCCAGCTGCGCTGCGCCGCGCAGAACTTTTCCTCCACGCTCTCTTAACATATGAAAAAGGAGACAAACAGCAGACGTTGCTTCCCAAAATATTTAAAAAAAACACGCATTGCTTCATCTGCAGCTCAACATACCTTAGGTTAGGAATTTATGATGTCATTTTAAAGAAGAAACCTCAGAAAATATTTGAATATGAAGATTTACCAGCTGGAAAGAAAAAAATAATTTGCTTGCTTGCAGGGAAAATGACAAAAATGTAAAGCTTTTCTGCTCAAAATCATGTTTTTGTGGTACTGCTCAAAAAAGGACGTTAAAAGACATTCTTTAAGATTATGTTTCAGATATTTGGTTTMAACGACCCATAAGGTAGAAAGGATTCCTTACATTTGGACAAAATACAATTGTTGCAAACATTTTAATCAATGGCTGAGTGACTAGGGCAGTTGTCCTCCAATGAGAGAGTTGGCGCTTCGATTACTCCTATTCAGTTACATGTCCAAGTGTCTTTGGATTGTAGTGTAAGGAGCTTTGAGTATCCTGGTTGGACAGAAAAGTGCTATATAAGTACAAACCATTTACTACAGCTGTCTTTTATTCTACATGCCACCTTAGGACTTAATCCTCCATTTATTGTGATGATCACATATTCTTGGGTGCGCACAGTATTTTGGTGCCTCAGCTACCCCCCGCCCCCAACATTAACAATTAAATCTACTGGAGTATACTTTAGGGGTACAGTATATGCATGTTTGGACCAGTTTTTCAATTACGGGTTGAGTTGGAGAGTAGAGAGAAATTGTCGCACAATTCTTTTTGAAAATGTTCAAAAGTCATGCAGCAGAGTTGCATGTTTCAGCGACTTAAACAAGAAAGATGAGAACCAAAAGTTGCGAGGCGTTTGGGAGACTCCCTCACGAAACTTATTTGTCAACTTGTTGCAGCCCAGTGATGTCTGACTTATTCTTCATAATAAAAGCTGAAACATGCATTGTTTTCATCCTGCTGAGCAAAAACACACAGAGCTTTGCTGCACACGTAATCTCAGTTTTTTTGGTGAGCTTTATACTTCTTGAGTTTAGTCATCTGATTGTTTTTGCACAAACCAAAAAAGAGACAAAAAACCCAGAAAATTTGGTGTCTGAGTGTGAAAGTGAAGCAACATCTGAAGTTTCAGTTTCTGCAGACGAGGCTCACTGGAGCAGAAGTTACTGCACAGCAATTTGATGCAGGTGTTGCTGCAGAAAACCAATTTAGAGGAGCGTGTTGAAGGATTCTGGTATTGTGCAGTTTTGCTCACTGTCATGGCTTGCTGGGGCACTCAGCAGGACTGAACCATTGTTGCCAGTGTTTGTCAGAAAGCGTGTCTGTTCTTGTATGTGTCATTCAGCAGTCTCGTCTGTTTATGTTGTCCCCAATTTCCCTCTAGATAAATGATGACTGGTTCTTTTTCTCCTTGTTTGTGGATAGATTGAGGGTCAAGGACACGGAGCGTTGTTTGACTGTAAATGTAGTCCTGATGGGCAGCACTTTGCAGCCACTGACTCCCACGGTCACCTGCTCATCTTTGGCTTTGGTTCCAGCAGCAAGTATGACAAGGTACACCACAGGTTCATTAGTGTTAAATGCTCACATTATTCCACATTGATTAGTAACAACAAACACCTTAAACCTGCTTCAGATAGCGGACCAGATGTTTTTTCACACCGACTACCGGCCACTGATCCGGGACGCCAACAATTACGTGCTGGATGAGCAGACTCAGCAGGCGCCACACCTAATGCCCCCTCCTTTCCTGGTGGACGTGGACGGGAACCCTCACCCCCCCAGATACCAGCGTCTGGTTCCTGGCAGGGAGGGCTGCAGAGACGAGCAACTGATCCCTCAGATGGGGGTCACCTCTTCAGGTATGGAGCCTGGGATTAAACTTTTGTTTATATTTTTACCCCCCAGCCTTCAGGGTGTTTGTAGCTCCGCTCTCGCCTGCTTGTTCTTTTCAGAGCAGATCTGTGCCTGGAGGTGATGCTGTCGTCTCCTCTCTTATCAGTCAGCCAATCAAAAACACTTGTCAGGATGATCATAATGCTTTTGTGTGTGCATAATCAGAARCATTTGTTGTCATTATGCTTGTGTGGGCAAATAAAATCAGATCTGATCAGAAATAATCAGCAGATGATAAAATGCATTCATTTTAAAAAAGTTTCATTTTTACATTCTGCATATTTTTAGTGCGAAATCAAATTTCATGTGTTTTAGCATCATGTCTAGAACACAGCGAGACACTGATCAACTTGTTTTCACGTGTTTTCATTTCCCTCCTGGCTGTCAGGCCTGAACCAGGTGGTGAGTGAGCAGGCGGTGGACGGTCCRAGTCCTCTGGACACCATGATTCAGAGGCTGCAGCAGGAGCAGGACCAAAGGCTTGGAATGAATGATGCCTCTGCTGCTGCAGCTGCTGCGATAAACACCAGGTCCAGCAGAGGTAGGATCAGGACTCGACAAAACCTTACACAACAGCCATTGTTTGTTTTTTTTTGTTTGTTTTTTTAGATTAATTTTGTCCAACTCTGAGTTATTACCACACAGTGCGGTGGAAGAACATGAGGCGTAAACTTGGATAAGATGTGAGGAGGTCGCGATCACATAAATTTTATTTTTTCAAGGATAGGATCTTGGTGAAACAAAGTGTCGATTTATTTAATTTATCAACACAGATCTAGACAAAGGTACATTAATCTTCAAACATATTTCATTCTAGTCCCATCTTACTTAAATATCAGATAAAAATGAAGTTAGAATTTACTTTTTAAAAATAGAATTTGATGCATAAAATACACGCCCCTCGTGGCATTTTTGTAGTTTTTTATAATCACAGATAAAAATAACTAGAAAAAGAAGCTATAAACGTCATATTTCACATTTTTTAACTCTCCTGTTGCTCTTTGGTCAAAATGACCAATGAGGCCTGATTGTTGAGCCTGAGGCCTTGTGGGTCATTTTGACCCAAGAGCAACAGTAGAGTTGATGTGTGAACTGGCTGATTCAGTTTTCTGATTAAAAAGCCCGATGTTCCAAACTAACATAAGAGGAAGGAGATTGTTTTAAAGCAGATGTCCTGAATAGAAATATAATTAAATCATTTATCAGTTTCGCTAAAGTCTTAAAGGAGACCAATTATGGGTCCTAGGAATTTTTATGGTGTGTCTGTGGTCTATCCAGACCATGTTATTTCAATTCAATGCACAAAATAATTCTCAGATAATAAAATTTCCCATTTTCTAGTTCTGCCTGCTCTGACTTCTGTTCAGAAGAGCTGTTTATGTTAATGAGCTCTGTTGGTAACGCCCTCCAAAAATCTGTTGACATTAACTCCGCCCTCCAAAGCCAGCGTTTACATTAGCATGACTAATAATAGCAGAAGCTCCGTTGTACAGCCTTATGAGACCCAGAGGCAGAGTCGTGGTCCCAGCTTCTTCTTTTTTTCTCCACCTCCTCTGCTCTGCGCTCACTCTGCATGCTGTTACCAGAGCAGGGAGCAGCAGCGGTCAAAATACCTCAGAAACTC